ATCAGCTGACACCTTTGCCTCATTTTTCACTGACAAAGTGGCAGCTATAAGCAAACAGTCTACTCAACTGGCCACTCCTGAACATTCGTTACTACAAACTCCTTCAAGCCCAACCATCTCAGGCCCTACTGCTTCATTTTCCTCTTTTTCCCCTCTCACTGAGAACTGTGTGTCCAAGCTTCTCACGTGCAGCCGCCCTACTACATGCCCACTTGACCCCATTCCGACTAAGCTGCTCCAAGCTATTGCTCCTACAGTAGCCGCAGCAGTCACACATGCGATCAACACATCACTGACATCCGGTACATTTCCCACCTCTCTCAAGCATGTTAAGGTTAAACCGCTGCTAAAAAAAAACCCATCTCTTCCTCCAAATTAGAGCTGAAACGATTCCTCGAGTACCTCGAATAATTCGAGTACAAAAAATCCTCGAGTCAAATTCTCTGCCTCGAGGATTCGTTTAATTCATATTTAATTAATTCATGGCTTTGCAATCGCCCGGAGTCATGTTTCACCCGGACCGAAATAAGTGACGCACATGCCCACTGGACTGCGAGTAGCGAATGTAACTTAACTTTCTCTTAAGCCATGGCGGACAACGTAGACCCCGGTGTAGGGCGAAAAAGACAGAAAATGTCAAAGTTGTGGGACCATTTTTCACGTCGTAAGGCAGAAAACGTACTCCAGTGTAAATACTGTAAAATGGATTTAGCCTACCACAACACCACATCCTCCATGCTGCAGCACCTGTAAATGTCACGTCTGCAAGCGGACTCGGAGCCTCTACAAGATAATGAATGCATTTTAGCCTGTTTTTCTATATATTCTGCAGACTCTGCGACTTTTTCGTTTGTAGCACTCAGTTTCAGCTCACACCGTACGTTTGGTAGCAACACGTCGGACTTAAAATGTGCTAAAAAATAGCAGTTTTTACACAACACGTCGGATTTTTTATTGTGTTATTGATGTCTGTTGTCCCTCGGGGTTTCTGCAGGAGGACGCGGGTATTTATGAGCGGCGGAGGAAAACGAAAGAAAGTAAATAAATGTTTTGTGATCAGTATAATTTGACAAAACCACAGCAAACATGCTTTTGGCAATCCTCGTTAGTGTGAGAAAAAAAGTGTGGAAATTAAAACGGACGTGTGTTAATAGGGAAACAGGGGCGAGCTGTTTGCGCCGTGAGCGGTTCTGGTTCTGTTTGGGCCGCAGCCGCTCGCAGCGTTATTCTCCTAGTTTTTGTCTGGCTTGCAGGCTAGCAGATTCTCGCACGAGGGGAAAATCGGCTCAGGTTGTTTACTTATTTTTTGCACAGGCATTTGTTTACTGTGAAGTAAAGTTGAAGTGCTGAAGTTATGCAAACTAATTTTGAATAAAACTTGAAGAATAACTGGCAATTGCTTTCTCATTTTAAGAGGTCTTTCATAATTATAACATGCTATTTGATATCAAATCACTTTTATTGTCACGTCACATGTGCAGGTACACTGGTACAGTACATGCGAGTGAAATTCTTGTGTGCGAGCTTCACAGCAACAGAGTTGTGCAAAAATACAGTAATGTAAAAACAAGTAAAATATAAAAATGGCTAATCTAAGTATACAAATGAATAAAGTAAACAATAAGATAAGAGATATAAAATGTACAGAGGTTGGTATGTGCAAAACAGTGGCATTAATGTACAGTATGGAGCGTGTAATGTTGGAACTTGGTGGAGCTCGCGACGAGGCAGCCATACTCGGCGCCATCTTGGCTCATCAATATATGATATAAAGGTTTACAAACACAAAAGGGTAATTTATTAGAGTACTCGATTAATCGAAAAAAAGATTCGATAGAGTACTCGATTACAAAAATATTCGATAGCTGCAGCCCTACTCCAAATCATGTGGAGAACTACCGACCTATCTCTCTCCTCCCTTTTCTGTCCAAAATCATTGAAAGGGTGGTTTTCAAGCAGATCACAGAATACCTCTCACAAAACTGTCTGCTTGACCCTTACCAGTCTGGGTTCAAAAAGGGCCACTCCACTGAAACTGCTCTGTTAGCAGTGACTGAATCCTTAAAAGAAGCTAGAGCGACAGGAAAATCCTCAGTGCTTATCCTGCTCGACTTATCGGCTGCATTTGACACGGTCAACCATGGCTTCCTTTTGTCCACACTCTCTAGCATGGGCATCACAGAGAAAGCACACGCCTGGTTTGAATCGTACCTCACAGGACGATCATTCAGTGTATCTTGGCTTGGACAATCCTCTACCGTGCACCATCTTGCCACAGGAGTCCCCCAGGGCTCTATACTAGGACCTCTTCTCTTTGCCATGTACACCACCTCACTGGGTGAGATCATTCGATCACATGGCTTCTCCTACCACTGCTATGCAGACGACACCCAGCTCTATTTGTCATTTCCACCGGACGACCACACTGTCTCTGCACGAATATCAAACTGTCTTTCTGACATATTAAAATGGATGAAATCCCACCATCTCCAACTCAACCTCTCTAAAACTGATCTACTTGTCATCCCAGCAAAACCATCCATACAGCACAATATCTCAATCCAAAATGACTTCCTATCTCTGGCTCCTTCAAAGGCAGTTCGAAATCTAGGTGTTGTGATTGATGAACACCTGAGCTTTAAAGATCATGTTGCCTCTGTTGCTCGTTCATGCCGCTTTGCGTTGTATAACACGAAAGATCAGACCATACCTAACACAACATGTCACCCAGCTCCTGGTGCAATCTACTGTCATCTCCCGCCTCGATTACTGCAATGCCCTTCTAACTGGTCTTCCAGGCTGTACTGTGAGACCTCTTCAAATGGTCCAGAACACAGCGGCGCGTCTGGTCTTGAATCAGCCAAAAAGAGCACACATCACCCCTCTGTTCATTGAGCTCCACTGGCTACCGCTAGCAGCACGCATCAAATTCAAATTGCTAACACTAGCATACAAAGTCCGAGATGGTATGGCTTCCATCTACCTGAATCCTCTTGCAAAGGCTTACGTCTCGGCCCGGCCACTCCGGTCATCACAGGATCGTCGGCTAGCAGTGCCCACACCACGCTCAGGACAATCCAGACTCTTCTCATGCATTGTTCCACAAATGTGGAATGACCTACCAAGCACTACCAGAACAGCGGCTTCCTTTTCAATTTTCAAGAAACTCCTGAAGACCCTGCTCTTCAGAGAGCATCTTCTTAACTAGCACCTTGCCTGCACCCGTCCCCCTCTCTACTGTCCACTCCTTGTTGAAGAGGTCTCACAGTATAGGCTGGAAGACCAGTTAGAAGGGCATTACAATGACCTGGATGACTGGGAACTTTCACCAAGATAAGATAGACCAATCAGCTGATTTTAGTTTACCCTTCTTTTCCTCAGAGGTGAAACATCATGACAGAAACCAGAACTTCAGCATTTTCACAGAGGTCAGTTTGTGACTTTCCTCTGAACCTGCAGCTCCTGCTGCGAGCGGCAACACAGATAAGCTAAATTAAAGCTGCTGAGGTGCACCATCGATCCGCTCTGATCCCACAGTGGAATACTAAACAGGCTGGAATCTGATACCAGGAGCAGCAACTTGAATAATGAAGCTTCTCTTCTGTGATCAGGGTGGTTCAGTGTTCTAACGCCAGCCTCCAGTCAGACAAACGAGTTGATCCGGTTGTGTTTAGTTTTTAGATTTTATACCATCCATCATCAGCCAGCAGGACAGCTCATGGAGAACATCCTGCATGGAACTGACCTTCATAGTCTGGAATGAATAAGATTTTAAAAAGACATAAATCCCTGGATCTGCATTAATGGGGCATGGATCAGAGGCCCTGAAGCGGGTCTGAGGGACTGAGGAGGTTCTGAGGGTCTAAGATGGGTCTGGCGTTGTCTTCTCTGAACTTTGGTTCCTGCTGATAAATATCTAATGATTCCCATTGAGGTATGTTTGCTGTGAGCTGATTTGCTGCTTCAGAAGATGAACTAAGTTCTTCAGTTGTTTTATTTTGAGCCACAGAAGATCAACAGAAGTTCTGTTCGTGTCTCTGTGACTTGAGGACTTGCTATAACCCCACTCCCACACCGAACATCTGCAGACCTTTACCATGTAATTGTTCCTGGGTTGCTGGGATTCAAGGTTTCTGGTCACCACAGGAACAGACGTGTTAATTAGAGCTACAAAAGGCCCTCAGAGCTGATCTCAGGTCAGACCCAACACAGAGACGGGGTCATTAGGGATACCGATGATCCCATAAAGGCTGGCTTACCGTAACATGACGATTATTCTTGTTTGTTGTTCATTGTGGGAGTAGGTGGATCAGAACCACTGTGTCAGTCTGATTGTTGATCAGTACAAATATTTTCCAACACATATTTAAGAATTCGGTTTGTTTAAATTAATTCCAGCTGATCTGTGATCAGTTTGAGGAAAAACCTTGGAGCATTGCTCTGAAACATCATATCATCTCGTCTCCTCCAGGTGATGGGGGGTCTTTGACCCCATCTCAAACTTGAACCAGTTGAACAGCAGTTCAACTCCAGTTAAAACTATTTTACAAAGACCGAGTTAAGTTTAACCAGTTATACCAGTTTAACTCCAGTTAAAACCATTTTACACAGACAGAGTTAAGTTTAACCAGTTATACCAGTTTAACTCAGTTAAAACCATTTTACACAGACAGAGTTAAGTTTAACCAGTTATACCAGTTTAACTCCAGTTAAAACCATTTTACACAGACAGAGTTAAGTTTAACCAGTTATACCAGTTTAACTCAGTTAAAACCATTTTACACAGACAGAGTTAAGTTTAACCAGTTATACCAGTTTAACTTAGTTAAAACCATTTTACACAGACAGAGTTAAGTTTAACCAGTTATACCAGTTTAACTTAGTTAAAACCATTTTACACAGACAGAGTTAAGTTTAACCAGTTATACCAGTTTAACTCAGTTAAAACCATTTTACACAGACAGTTAAGTTTAACCAGTTAGAGAAATGAAGAAACTCACCCCTGTTTTTCTCCATCCACCAGGATTTGGACCAGGATTCCTGTAACAGCCACCAGGATCGGGTAGTGGTCCACACTCTCCAGACCTGAAACGTGCACGTGCACACACACATTTCAGAAAGATGAATCAGAAGATGATGGAACCTAAATGTTTGAGCTCTGATCTAAACGTCTTTTTTTGGTTTCCTTTAGTTTTTTGGACTCTGGTTCTGACCCAGTTTTGAGACATTAACTGTTGTTGATTTGATGAGTAACACCTGTCAGGTGATTCGGGTACAAAAAGGCAAAGGCAGGAAAACACAAACCAAGATTTAAACAGAACAGTTTCTAGAGCTGGAACTCAGAACATGAGGCTGCTCGACTCGTTCGTCTCGGTCCACGCTCACCAGGACCGAGACGAATCAGCTGCAGATTAAAATCCATAGGCTGTTCCATTTGACTTGAGTCTGCAGTAAAACGCCTGACTGACGTCTAATGAGCTTTAATTAAACAGAACCATCAACACAAACTGAAAACAAGCTCAGACTCAAGTAGAATGTGACGTTTTCACAGCTGCAGCTTCTATCAAGGAAAAGATCAGGAGCTGCTGCAGACGACCAGAATATAACGTTATAATAATTAGATCCAATCCAGCCTGAAACACCAGCTGATGTGTGTGTGTGTGTGTGTGTGTGTGTGTGTGTGTGTGTGTGTGTGTGTGTGTGTGTGTGTGTGTGTGTGTGTGTGTGTGTGTGTGTGTGTGTGTGTGTGTGTGTGTGTGTGTGTGTGTGTGTGTGTGTGTGTACCTGGCAGTCTCAGGTTGACGACGCGATCAAAAAGGTTTTTCTCAGCTGTGACTCTGTTTAACACCTGGTTCAGCAGCTGCAGACAAAAAAAAAAGTTTTCATTTATACTACCAGCAATGACCACAAAAAGTCCTCCAAAGGTGTAGAACCAGTCCAGAACCCCTGGTTCCTCATCTCTTTATATGATCCTTCCCAGCAGCCAGACACCTTTTAAAGACCATGTTCACTGAGAAACCCTTTATTACTTTTTTTGAATATGATCGGTCATTCTGAGTGTTTCATGCAGGCTGAACATGAAAATAGTCTCCTACACCTACCTCCTGCATTAACTTCTGATAGAAAACAGACGGTGAAACTCTAGGATTAGAAAATCCTGACAGATCTATGTCACACTGTCAGTTAACATTCATGGACTCATCCATCTGGACTCACGACGGGGAAGGCTGTTGTTAGTTTAGCGTCCAGGAAACAGCAGAGAACGTCTCAGCTAGTAGAAGCTAACTGTTAGCATTTGCAACTCCACCACACAACAGAACTTCTCTAGGCTTGTGTTATTAGTGAAGGTAAAACATCAACGTTGCAGAGTCAGTGGTGGAGTCGTGTTGCTGTTAGCCAATCAGAGGAGAGATGTCCAAATATCAGGAAGTAAGAAATTAAAATGTATTACTCTAAAGGTAGACTAAAGGTAAGAACTGTTTTCAGGTGTAATTATTAGAGTTTTCATTAGACTGATTGATCAAGGTGGAACACCTGAAGGTTTCTCTTCACAAGAGCACTGCTAGAACATCAAGATGATCATACAGGCTGTAACGACAGCAAAAATAACACAATTAGCCAACAAGAGGAGCGGTGTGCTGCTCCGTGGTTCGGTTCGCTGAGCTCAAACACCCCTTCTCCCGACCACCGCTTGCTGTGAACAACATAGTAACACTTTTATAACCGAAGGAACTCCCAGCCGCGGACATTTTCTCCATTTAGACATAACCTTTACCGGCATACACATCAGGATATGATTTGCCTTGCTTGGGATTTTTTAACACACAGAAAAAAAGGTTGTTCTTTACCTTCTCGATTCAACTCAACACGACCTTTATTTATATAGCACCTTACAAAACACTTACCTGACACTAAAGTGCTTCACAGACACAGATAAAAACATAACACATAAAATCCACTAAAGGTGAATAAAACACTACCAAATAAAAACATTCAAAATTAGACTAAAAAAAGAAACACACCACTCACAGTCACTCACAGATTTAAAAGCCAGTTCATAAAAATGGGTCTTCAGCTTGGATTTAAGAACTGGTACAGAAAAGGACTGCTGAATGTTTGATGGAAGCTCATTCCATAGTTTTGGAGCTGCAACTGAAAAGGCTCTATCACCCCGCATCTTCAGCCGAGATCGGGAGACCACGAGCAAGGACAAGGCCTCTGAAAGGAGTGCCCGTGGGAACATACGAGTGCAGTGTGTCTGCCAGATATGCTGGAGCCAAACCATTTAGAGATTTAAAAACCAGAAAAAGAACTTTAAACCGAATCCTAAAAGTAACACGTAGCCAATGTAGAGCTGCCAATATGGGCATAGCATGCCAAACATCTCCCAGCAGCATTTTGGACATGTCGCAAATGGGCTAAGGCACCATGGATCACTCCGAACAGGATGGAGTTGCAATAGTCCAGGCGTGAAGTTATGAGCACATGCACAACAGTTTCAAGATCACATCTGGACAAAAATGGTTTAACCTTGGCCAAGCGTCTTAAATGGTTAAAGGAGGAAGCTACCACCCCATTCATGTGACCCCTAAAACAGAAGTCTGTCCATCTTCACTCCCAAATTAACTACATAGTCCTTCTAATGGGGGTTTAATTCACCACAGTCCACCATGGAGGTATCAGTGTGGCTCCTGGGACTGAAGAGCACTGCTTCTGTCTTCCCCTCATTGAGGCACAGGAAAATTTCTGTCATCCATGCTTTGACCTAACACAAACTATCTAAAACCTTCAAGATTGGTCGACCACCAGCATCATCCAAAGGAAAGTACAGTTGGCAGTCATCAGCATACAGGTGAAAATCAGTACCGTGTTTCCGTAGGACATCATCCAAAGGCAGAATATACACACAAAACAGCAGGGGACCCAGTATTGAACCCTGCGGCACACCCCAGGGGAGATGGGAGAATTCAGACGAGAAACCACACATCTGGACACACCATTCTATTAGAAAGATAGGACCCAAGCCAATTCAGAGCCAGACCAGTAATTCCCACGTAGTGCTCAAAACAATGAAACAGCACCTAATGGTCTACTGTATTAAAGGCTGCTGTCAAATCCAGCAAAACTAGTAACACAGTCCTTCCGCCATTAGTTGCAAGAAGAATGTCATTCAGCCTTGTTTTGCTACTGTTTCGGCTACTTTTTATAGCCATCTTCAGAGCCGTGTCGATGTTGGTGGCGTCACTTGTACATTTATCCACAGGAAGCAAATAATGATGTGGACCTCAGCTGCCCTCGCTCTCCTCGTCGATGACACAGTCCCATGCGTGATCTAACGTGTAGAACCCATCATCTCTGTTCATGGTTCCGTGTCCATGTCTCCGTATATCTATAGCTTCCTTAATCCATCTTTTATATTTTTGTTGTTCGGTAGTTATGATCCTTGTTACGTCCCAGTCCATTATGTGGGTTTCCCTTGTGTAGTGATCGGTTATGGCTGATTTCTTCGTTGTACTTTCTGCTTCTTGTTTCGCTGCTCTTGTGTGTCTTCGGTTTGTTTCTTTCTCACTCTTTTCTCTGTTCTATTGCTCTTGTGCTGAGTCCGGTTGCTCTTATGTATTTAGAGTTTGCATGGGCAAGCTCCCCTCTGCTCTGGCTCATTTCTACTTCCTGAAAAAGAGCGCCAGAGCTTTTTCCCACAGAGATCTCCTCATAAGGCATTAATTTACTAGAGACCACTGCAAATGTGTGAACTTGGTCTTTAAAATAATCTTGATCCTGATCAGGGGTTCTGGACTGAATCAGGAGTTCTCAGCGGTGGTACCATCAGAATTCTGATCTGTTCTGGTACCTTAAGTGATCCAAGAGTTAATGTTACCTGAGCAAGTCGTCGCAGCAGCAGCTCTGCTGATGGACGCGACCAGTCCAGGAAGATATCCGGTACCAGAGTGACGGTCATCTCCAGAACCCGCAACAAGCTGACAGACAGGTCAAAGCAGGTCGCACACACCTGTGTACAGGTTCACACAATTAATGAGGAAACACTCCAGCAGAACCAGAACCATTATTCTGGTATTATGTGATTACCTTCAGCTGACGGGTGTCCACAAAGTTCCTCTCAGGTCGCTCTGCGGCCTGCTGGATCTGAAACCAGGCCAAGAAGTGGGTTTCCAACCCAGAACATTTCACTTTATACCTCAAACATGATCTAAGGCAGTGTTTATACCTCAAACATGATCTAAGGCAGTGTGTGTGTGTGTGTGTGTGTGTGTGTGTGTGTGTGTGTGTGTGTGTGTGTGTGTGTGTGTGTGTGTGTGTGTGTGTGTGTGTGTGTGTGTGTGTGTGTGTGTGTGTGTGTGTGTGTACATTTATATGTTCTTTATGCTGGTTGAAAAACGCTGGTTTAGTTTCATTTAGGACTGGGACGATAATCAATAAACCAATTAATCGTATGACAGATGAAAATGAACGTTTTTCCAGCCTCGATATGTCGGTCTTTGTCAGACACATGGCCTGCATGTCAACCGCAAGGGGACTAAATTAGAGAAACAAGTAAAAAAAATGTTATCCGAGTTGGGGCGTATTGATACATGGAGGTATTTACACAAAAAGTAGCACACATTTACATTTTATTCAGCAAGGCATGATATGCACTCGACGATTGATTACTTTTTTACCTTTAGTAAAGACCTCCACAGAGTGAAGGACTGTGTAATCAGACAGAAAGATTTATCTGATCACTCAGGACTAACTATGAAGATTGGATTTAAAATGAGCCCCAAAAACACCCTATGGAGGCTTAACACAGGTCTGTTAAATAACGAGTCATTTAAAAAAGAAATGGGACTGGAGTCAAAAATGTACTTAGAACTCAATGATAATGGGACAGTTAATCCCACAATCGTATGAGATGCGGCAAAAGCATACCTTAGGGGTAAAATTATAGCAAAATGTGCAATCCTAAAGAAGGTGAAAGCAAAGCAGCTAGCAGACTTGCAGGAAATTTTTAAAAAGTTGGAACAGCTGCACGCCGTCACAAGGTGCCCCCGGGTATTGGAGCAGATGAGACCAGTCAAGCAGGAGATTGACAAAATCTTAAGTGAGGAAATTGAAAAAATATGTAAATATAATAGACAAAGGTGGTATGAGGCAGGACCCAAAGCTGCCAGGCTACTATCATGGAGGCTTAGGAAACAACAACAGGAAAACACTATTCATAAAGTGCGCAACTTAAAAACAAATAGAATAACTAATAAACTCGAAGAAATTCAGAGAGCATTTGAAGAATATTACTCAGAGCTATACGCGCAGCCAAATAAAGTAGACGAGTATACGATTAGGAATTTCTTGTCCAGCTTAGGTCTACCATCTATAGGTAAGCAGCACAATGAAGACCTCGTTAGAGAAATATCAGAGGAAGAAATTAACATTGGGATCTCCAGACTTAAAACTTTTAATGCCCGGATTCCCACCAGAGTGGTATAGGCAGATGAGGGGACATTTAATCCCACTACTGAAGGCCTCTTTCAACTACACTCTGAGTGTGTGTGGGGGGCGCTCCCACCATCAAGGCGTGAAGCTTATATCTCTGTTATACCAAAAGCAGGGAACGATAAAACGGACCCCAAAAGATATAGACCAATTAGCATGCTAAATATGGACTATAAATTCTTTGCTGTGATTTTGGCTAAAAGACTAAGCATATTGATGCCCATGCTGATAGGGGAGGATCAAACAGACTTCATAGGTAATAGACAAACGCACGATAATATCAGAAGGACCATTCATATTATTGACCAGATACTAAAGAAAAAAACGTAACAGTTCTCATTGGGCTTGATGCAGAAAAGGCATATGATACGGTTGGGTGGGAATTTCTATTTAACGTACTGAAGAGATTTGGGCTATGTGATAAGTTAATTCAATGTGTAAGAATAACTTATCTGTCTCCAACAGCAAGGAACAAAATTAATGGAAGCCTCTCAAATCGGATAACATTACAACGGTGCTGTAGGCAGGGCTGCCCGTTAAGCCCACTGCTTTTTAATGTTTTTATTGAACCGTTGGCTCAATGCATCAGGGAAGAGACTCGATTAGAGGGGGTTACAACAGGGAGAGTGGAAAATAAAATTTGTTTGTATGCAGACGATGTGTTGGTAACGTTGGGAAACCCAGAAGAGGGGATCCCATTGCTTATGGAAATTTTGGAAGAATATGGCAGACTGTCTGGTTAGACTGAACAATCAAAAAACTCAAATCTTGACTTTCTTTTTTGATCCCTCAAGTCATCTGGTTGCTAGATACAGATTCAGCTGGCATCAATCACAAATGGAGTATTTGGGCATCCCACTGACAAAAGACCCAGCATTGTTACATGAAGTTAATTATACTCGGGTGACCAAGAAAATGTATGAGGATCTGGAGAGGTGGGGTCTGCTCCCCCTCGATCTGGGCAGCAGAGTTAGAGCGATAAAGACAAATATTCTCCCAAAACTATTATAGTTATTTGCAGCACTTCCTGTTGAGGTCCCAGCAAAACAATTCAGGGAATGGGACATGCATTGTTCAAGATTCATATGGAGCAATAAAAGGCCGAGAGTGAGATATTGCAGCTGCCTGGGGAAAGGGGGGGTACGGCCTTGCCATGCTTTGAGGATTATTACTTGGCGGCCCAGATCAGACCTCTAGTGTTCTGGTGTAGCTCTAACTAAGTACAAGGCAAAATGGAAGGACATTGAGCTTTCCCTAATGGACTTCCCAATACAGCCTGTCCTGGGGTCTCTGGAGAGTCTGCCACAGGCATACCAAATGCAAAATTTCTGTGCAAATTTCTCTCTGAAAAAATGGGCTGAGGTGATTTAAAAAAATCTGTCTTTATAAGGAAGTGGGATTTCTGGGTTGGCCGGCGTATCTCCCGGACTTCGTTCCGGCACAGATGGACCATAAATTTAGGGAGTGGTCCAGGCATGGTGTCACTGCAATCTGCAAGATAGTTAAGCATGGGGAACTGCTCAGTTTTGAGGACATGTGTCGGTTTTATGAGATCAGCAGGGAAGATTTCTACCGTTACTTACAGGTTCGGAGCTTCTTCTGGAGGGAAATTAGAATGGCCGATGCAGACGCAACCAGTGGGGTGATTCAAATATTCATGGATGCATATGGGGATAAGATCATAAGAGGCACCATAGGCAAATTGTATAAAACGTGGCGAGATTTTGGATGGAAGAATTTAGATTCTTTATTTCGCCAAAGCAGGAATCCAAAATAAGTGGTTCATGCGCTTCGTGCTGGAGGGAGTGCGGGGAGATCGCCGCAGGTTGCTTCCATATCTTCTGGTCATGTCCTAAGCTAAAGACTTTTTGGGAGGAGATCAATGAAATGGTGGTGGAGGTGCTTGGAGGAACTGTGGACTTCTCCTTTAGCACCATGTACCTTGGGAAAATCCCTGAGGATATAAACAAACGAGACTCATACTTACTGAAAATAATCCTGGTTGCATGCAAAAAGGCAATTATTAAATGTTGGCTGCAGAAAAGCCAGGTCCAGGATGGAGAGGCAGATCAGAGGTTTAGATCTTTCAGTCCTCTCAGGCTCCTCGTATGTCTGCAGAGCGCCGACTGGGTTTCCGTTTGTCACAAATAGAAATGTAACTTTGATAATAGCAATTCTTTGACTCGGTGTCTGGAGACCCTCGGGAGTTGTTCGTTAGCCCCCCTTTTTCCTTCTTCTAACATGTTGCCATGACGACACACCAAATGTTAAGTTTCCTCTTTCCCCGACACACTGATAAGAAACAGGCTTTACATCATAACGCTTTTCTTGTGGCATTTTGTTGAGTTTTATTTCTGCGTTGTGGATAAAATCTGCTATTTTATGTTATTACTAACTTTTTCTCAGACAAAAAGTAGCTGTTCTCTGAGTGATGAAACAGCAATACGACATTCATCTCACCTCCTGAATCATCCCGATAAACTCTGAGAAAGCCCAGTTGAGTTGGTTCAGGACGCTGTTGAGGAAAGATGCCGCCATGTCTTTGTCCATTCTGAGCAGCTCCGCCATGTGTCTCTGCAGCAGCAATGATGGGCACGGCTCTGGACCAATCAGGCGACAGAGAACAGGTCAGGGGGGTAAAAGATGGTCAGAGATCAGACTCAGGAAGCATCTGGAGCTGGAAAAGATGAAGATCTGCATATCTGAGCTGGTCTGAGAGCTACATCTGAACTTTTGTTTGAAATGCATCGATTATGTTAGGACCAGACTGAGAAGGAACCGTGTCACGTCATTCTGAAAAAGTAAATAAAACCAAACAAAAAGGAAATGAAAGGATGGAGGAGGAGGAAGTAAAGGAGAGGAGAAGAAAAGCTGAAAGACAATCAGACCATGAAGGTTGAGGCTAAGCTGGGGCAGGGGGCTCTGAAGAAAACAATCTTCATCACCATGAAGACACCAACTCAGAGGTCAGAGCTTCTGTTTCTGCTCTTCACGCACTACGCTAACTGGTCCTGCAGGAATGGGTCTTAAATTTTAATCCCTATCATCATTTCCTCTCAATTCACAAACCTCCACACAGATTATAAATCATCTGAGTAAAACTGCTCTGAATCATTTCATCTCTGAAGCATCACTGCTTTGAAGACTCTTATTATTAACCTCCAGGGAATTAAAATGATCTCAGTAACTCTGTCATTTTCTGTGTCAACTCCACCAGAAACACCACTTCCTGTCCGATCTGCTGGTCACAAGAAGCTGAACTCAACACATTTCTGGCGTATTGATCTTTCGGAGTCACTTTGCTGATTGCGTCGACATAAAGACGCTTTCTACATAAATCTGAATCCTAAATCTCAGGTTTAATCCCCGCTGACAGAACATCGATGTGAGAAGGAGCTGGCCAACACTGCGTCTCCAGCTTCGGTTATTGATCCGTGTTTATCGCTACTGAAAATGCACCACATGCACCAACATCTGACCTCTGAGCAGGAAGCAGGACAGACAGCACAGCTGGAACGTGAACACAACAGAACTTACTTTGGAAACTAGCAATGGAAAGATCTCCTGAACAGCATGCAGACGAGAAGCACACAGATGAAGGTCAGTTAGCATGCAGAAACGACTCGATGATGTGTGTGTGTGTGTCTAGCACACCTGACACACACACATGCTCACACTCGATTAAAGCTGAAAATCAGAGCAGAGCTGCGGTAAAAATAATCCTGCAGATGGACCGTCATGGCCTCATTTTATTTATGGAAATTCCAGCAAAACAGCAGAAAGTAGAACAAACTTCAAAAACAATAAAAACATCTCGTATCAGAAAAAGGTTCCGACGGTGGAGAAAAGATAATTTCAAACACAGCATTTCTTCTCTGTCAGCCTGTTAGACACCAGCACACTCTAAACCAGGGGTGTCAAACTCAAATTCACACGGGGCCGAAATGAAACTCTGGGACGAAGTCGAGGGCCAAACTTAATATTTTTTGATAAAGTGACGGCAAATTTGCACATTTTCTTTATCAACATATATGCAACTTTGAACTTTTTAATTTGGAAACAAACTTATTTCTGCATTAACACTGAATGTGGAATAACCACATGAGCAAGTCAATGTTAAATAAAACACATCAGTGGTATTCATTTCCTGTGGTATATTCAGCATTTTTAAAATCTATTCAGGATTTATGTTTTCTTGTTGTTTATTCATTTTTCTTCTTTTTTCTTCTCATTTTTTCTCCTGTAATAGGTGTCATCGCTGCTGTGACATCTAGCTTTCCCCACTGAGGAACAATAAAGGGATTTTCTATTCTACTCCTCTATCTGCAGCCTTTCCACTTCCTGTTTACTGTAGGTTAAATCTTTTCTCACGGGCCAACAACAAAATAAAAATATCATTTTATCTTAAATGAAAATGCAACATCTCACCTGTTAACTTTCATGTTTTGGAGCAGAAAAAGAGCATAAAACCAACATATTTAAAGCTCAGTTTGCTCCACTGGTTTACTGTGATGCTCACCTGTTCCAGCCAGATACCTGCATCATGGGGCTGACCTGAGCTGAGGAGGAGACCCCTGTTGTTTTGTTCATCTTCATCATAATAATGACAACATTAGATGACAACAGGTGCTCACATAGGTTTGTGCTGATGAACATGTCTGAGCAGCTTGACCACGTTGTTGTGTGTCGGGGAGGAAAAATAACAACTACAGCAGCCACAGAGTCATGCTGGTTTGAGCGTGTCGCTGCTCGCTGGAGTTATATCAGCTCTGTCTGGAGGTTAGTTGGAAAACTTTCTTTTTCAGTCGTGAACACATTACTGAGCAGTTAAAATCTCAGTTTCTGGACTTCCAGCGTCGGCAAATAGCTGAGTAAACTCGGCGATGAGTGAGAGGAGTGTTTAGTTTGTCCGAGACAGCGGAGCTGCAGACACCGGCGGCAGCAGACGCTGGAAAAAACACAAAGAAGGGGGCACTTTGGCTCTGCGCTAAGGCCGCAAAGCATCATGGGAGTTGTAATCTTTGCGGTTATATCGGCAAGCGTGTCAGTTTTTATATATTTTTGATATTTATCTCGCGGGCCACATAAAAATGCTCCGCGGGCCGCATCTGGCTCGTGGGTCTTGTGTCTGACACAAGTGCTCTAAACCCTTTCTGCGTGTCAGGAAGCAGCTGATCACACTGACAGTAGGAACAGAAACCAGTAAAAGAAAACAACCACCTTATTTACGACAGGAGGTTTAATCTAGAACTTGAGGGTCGAAGACACCAAGTCCCTCTTCAACAAACCAGAGAAAATGTCACAATGTGGGAAATGTTTTCTGCCATTTGAAAAGCAGGAATGAATCTTAACTGACGCTGAAAGTAAACATAAACAATTACTGTTGTTGGATTTAAACTACTTCTGAGGAAGAACCTAGCACCACAGCCTCCAGAGAGGAGGTCAGATGATCAGTCATTCAAATCTTTTCATCATGTGGAGACAACAGAGTCACACGGACACAAAACAACACCTACTCTGAAGGCTCGGCAGGTTGGCGTCCTCCGGTTTGGTCTTCAGCAGGTGAGGAAGACGAGTGTATCTGTATCCAAAACCACAACCCTGTAGAACCGAGAGATGTTTGAGACATCAGCAGATGTGTGTGTGTGTGTGTGCGTGCGTGCGTGCGTGCGTGCGTGTGTGTGTGTGTGTGTGTGTGTGTGTGTGTGTGTGTGTGTGTGTGTGTGTGTGTGTGTTACTGTTGGCACAGTGAAGATATAATTTTTTATTTTTATGAGGCATTCTTTCAAACTGAAAAATAACATTTAGTTTCGATAAGCCCCGCCTATCCTAATGTAAATTCCACAATAGTACACAGCTGCAGACCCGGAGAGATGTCCCACTCACCCTCCACAGTCGGACCAGAATCCAGTTAGTCTGAGCCCAGGGTCTCTGCTCATATGGAGCCAGCAGGTTTCTCATCATGGCCACTCGTCTGAAAGCAAACATCAACACTGATCCCAGCAGGTAGAGCACACTTGGGTCTGAACCAGAGCCTGTTCCAACTAATGCTTCAAGATTACCATGCCTTGGATGACTAACGCAAACCCTGAGACAAACATCAGCTCTGAGTCAGACCACCCACAGCTCCTCATTATGAGTCTGAGAGAAGGACAAAGAAAACTCACTGCTCCTCTGGGATCCTCTCCACTGCCCTGAGGGATTGTGGGTAACAGACATAGCTGGCCAATGCCTGCATCAAAGAGTCTTTGATATCTGAGGACACAAGCAAACAAAAGTTTGGATACAGTGAAGTCAAACCAGGGAAGGAATCCTGAACTTAAAAGGACCAACCATGATGATGTAAACCCTACAGGAGACTTCTGCTGCTCCTACCTGGAGGACATCAGGAGGTTCTGACATGATGAATTAGTTTCTCCTGCATCAATCTATCCGGTCATGAACATAATGACTCATGTAATTTAAAGCTCAGAAGGGAGAACTTTTTTTTAACTCTAAGAGACTCTGTAGCTCGGCCAGGTGACTCGAACCAGCAGACTAAACTCTCCTTCACATCATTCCTCAGAATCGGTCTTCAACGTGGAAAAATATTTAGGAACCCGTTCAGGAGCAGATCGGGATCCATCTGGTTCCAAACCTTCACTGAACTTTGTTTTCATTATTTAAGAAACAAGTTTTAAACCTAAAATCTGCATCATGCAAATGAATAACAATATTTCTCACCTATCACTCTGTGTGTGTGTGTGTGTGTGTGTGTGTGTGTGTGTGTGTGTGTGTGTGTGTGTGTGTGTGTGTGTGTGTGTGTGTGTGTGTGTGTGTGTGTGTGTGTGTGTGTGTGTGTGTGTGTGTGTGTGTGTTCAACATAGTTGAAAATAACTTTCTATTTCTGTTTTTCCCACAAACTATTTCTGTAAGTGGATCAAATGCTTATAGCAGGAAATCAGACACTTTTAGAGTTCGGGTGATTTCCTGTCTCGTCTCATCTGAACAGAAACAGTAACTCATGGTGAAGTGTTCACCAGCTGCAGCGACTCAGGCTTTGTGGTGCTTCAGCAGCACTCCCAGCGCCTTTGTTCTGGTTTCATTCTCGTGTTTAACATGTTTGTTTAGCAGGTGACAATCTCAGGATGCTCTGCTTCAGTTTGTAATGGTTTATTTGTTGTTAGAAGTTATTGGTGCAGCAGGAGAGCCTGAAACCAGTCTCTGATAAGTGCTGGATGATCGATTACTGCAGCCTGATCACGATAAACAGTTACAGCCTCCTGGAGACATCAACAACACGCACACACAAACACAGCAGACAGAAAGGACATCAATGTTCTGTTGCAGCTGAAAGAAATTAAAGACATAATTTTAATTACAGAATTATAAAGTAAAAAATGCTGAAAATAATTTAAAGAGGCAAACGCAGCGACCGCTCTGATTACAGAGGGAAACCACAGCAGGTGAAACAAAAACAGACTCAACAAACAGCAGATTTAAACGTCCATATGACCTGAACACAGATAGGAGGCAACATGGACGCGAAACTATGGCAAGCCAAATGGATCAAAAATGTGCACATTCTAAAAACGGGTTACATCCTCCAACACACATTCAAGACAATCATTTTGATGCGGCAAGCCAAATGGATCAAAAATGTGCACATTCTAAAAACGGGTTACATCCTCCAACACACATTCAAGACAATCATTTTGATGCTAAAGGGGGCAAAAAAATAACGCGCGTTCAAAACACGCGTAATGGCCGCCAAGGCCTGTATGGAAAGCCAATGATGAAACAAAAACTTAGTAGAAAATAATTAATAAAACAGAAAGACATAAAAACTAAACGCTGCTTCAGCTGGGTAGACAAGGTAAAAAAGGTAGTTAAAAAAAAGATTACATATATTGGATGAGAAGCCAGAAGCTACTTCGGGGACAATTTTCAAGTTTAAAAGTAAGTCAGCTAATTTCAAATGTTTTTTTTAGATCCAAATAAGTTATCTATTGTTGGTCAGTTGCTTAGTAGTTGCAGCTTCGGTGGTTAGTGGGTAGTAACTCACTTAAATTTTTAATTTAATGAACATATACACAATTTAAAAAGTAAAAGGCTCGTTATATATTTATAATGAAACAAGTACATATAAAATATAACGTTATCTCCCGTGTCACGTGACGTTACTTGACCGCCGTGGAAGCCGCGGTCATGTGATGCAAGTCTGTTCCATTTAACCATTTTCTTTGACCAAGGAAGGACAGTGTCCTTGGAAGCAAGGCGCCTGGCCTCGCAAGACACCAGGCGCCTTGACATTGAGAAACACCCCAAGTCATCAACAAGCACCAAACATTTTGTTTCCTGTGCGACGGACAAAAATCGCACAGTGTGATCCGGGCTGAGGTGGTTAGGCTTAGGCACCCCAACGTCCTTGCCCTGCAATGGACTGGCAACCTGTCCAGGGTGTACCCCGCCTGTTTGCTCAATGACTGCTGGAGATAGACACCAGCCCCCCCCCTGCGATCCTGCATGGACAAGCGGGTTCAGATAATGGATAGATGGATTTATTTTTTCTTGCACCAAGTACAGCTGCTAATGTTGTTATTCTCGCACGTATGGCAATAAAGCCTTCCGATTCTGATTCATTTAGAAAAATTAATTTGGAAACAATTACTTTGGTGCTTTTATTATGTAATGTTTTTATCAACAGGCTTTTAATTTAAAGTGCATTCTATTAGCAGGCTTTTATTTTGGAAATATCAAACGGGATCAGAAATAACTTATCAGCTCAAGGACTACCATTCATTTTCTTCTAAAAACTAACCCTAACCCTTCTGACTGCTGTAGTGGCCTTCAAAATAAAACTTAAACAATAAAAGTGTGTGTGTGTGTGTGTGTGTGTGTGTGTGTGTGTGTGTGTGTGTGTGTGTGTGTGTGTGTGTGTGTGTGTGTGTGTGTGTGTGTGTGTGTGTGTGTGTGTGTTACCTGTTCCTACAATACGTGGGTCTGCAAAGTGTTTGGCGAGGATGGTGGCAAGCTGAGTCAGCGTATCCTCGTAGCCTGACAAGAAAACAAAAAAGAAGTTAATTCATATCAGCAAGAAGAGCTGATTGCACGATAACATCCACGCAAGGATAGACACGTGCACACACACAGGTGTGTGTGTGTGTGTGTGTGTGTGTGTGTGTGTGTGTGAGTGTGTGTGTGTGTGTGTGTGTGTGTGTGACTCTGCAATCCTGCTAATGGCAGAACCCAAGTTGTTAACATGACAAACATGATTCAAAGCAGCATCAATCAAGTGATATTGGGGGGTGGAGTCACATCAATGACTGTGAGGTCATATTAGTTATTTACACAGGGTTTAAATTTTAAAATATAAAATAAAAATATATAAAAATAAAAGAAACACGTGGTAGCAGGTTGCAGAAACAACAGCTGGAACAAATTAATGTTCTTAGGCATGTCACCTGGAGTGTTTTCTGTAGGATTTGAACAAACATTTGAAGTCACCTGGAGGAAGCACAAACAGTGATCCTCTAAAGAAATCCCAACGAAAGACATGCAGAAGGCTGGAGAGGCAGCCGGTTACACACCAAACTGAAACGCGTTACTTTGATCAGCTGATGATGATGATGATTGTTAGGGCAGCTCAGAGAAGGTGCAGTAGATTCTGTAGAGGACAGCAGTAGCTCAGGAGGTAGAGCAGGTTGTCTAGTAATCGAAAGGTTGCAGGTTCGATCCTGGCTCTCGCCAGAGAATGCTGCTCTTGTGTCCCTGGGCTACACACTTAACCCGCCTTGCTTGCTGGTGGTGGTCGGAAGGTCCAGTGGCACCATTTACCACAGATTCCAGTGCGTGTCATAAATGTCTGGTTAATTAACTTGTGTGTTGAGTAATAAACTTGGTGTTTCTAACTTTAAATACGTTAAAATGAATTAAATCAATAAATAAATGAATAATGGATAATAAAAGTAATCAGTTAAAAGCTCAGCTAAAAAGGTGAGTCTTGAACCTGTTCTTAAAAACTTGAACGTTCTCTGTGGCCATGAGGCCCTCCGGCAGTCTGTTTCAGAGATGAGGGTCGTAACAACACTGAGACACACAATGTTAAACTGGCAGTGTTCATTTTGATGTTTTAAAACGATAATTAGTAGAAAATAAGTATAAATATAGTTTTATTGATTTAAAGTGTGAAATTTGACTTTTTCATTTTTCTTTATAATTTCAAATAGGTGTAAAAAACGCTTATATTTTAGTCGACTAAAACAAGACTAAAATTAAAACAAATTTGATGACCAAATAATGAGTAAAATTCAAAAGAGAACTAAATTTCTTGTCAAAACTCTTTTTTGGGCTTTAACTCGTCTGCATGTGAGGCAGAAACAGGCCACAGCAGCCTGAACCCTAAAATAAAACGAGGTCAAACAGAAAAACCTTGGTCCCGAGAGCAGGGTTCTGCTCGAGAACCAGAAGCTTTGAGCAGCAGAATGAATTTATTTTAATGATTAACTGCAAAAGAAGAAGACGAAGAAGAAGAAAATATCATTTCTATAGCGCCTCTCAAGATAAAAATCACGGGGCGCTTCACAAAAACAAAAAATGTAAAAATATAAAAAAGCATTTAGAAAATGTTTTAAAATATATTTTAAAATGAGCAAAAAGATAATTGTGGTAAAGAAAATGTTGAGAAAGAGAGAGAGAATAGGAAAAAGTGGTTCCTGAGGAAGGTGGAATAGGTGGGGAGAGCAGAATAAAGAGAGAGGGGTTGAAGAAGGTCATACAAAAGCCAGCTTGAACAAGTGAGTCTTCAGCTGCTTTTTAAAGGAGTCCACTGAGTCCACTGATCTCAGGCTCAGGGGGAGAGAGTTCCAGAGTCTGGGGGACACAGCAGCAGATGATCTGTCACCTTTGGTCTTTAGCCTGGTGCGTTGCAAAACCAGTAGACTTTGATCACTGGACCTCAGGGACCTGCTGGGGGTGTAGGGACTAAGAAGATCACCAATGTAAGATGGTGCTTGTCCATGTAAGGCCCTATAAACCAGAACCAGGATCTTGAAATGAACCCTGAAGTTGACGGCAGCCAGTGAAGCTGGAGGAGAAGCGGGGTGATGTGGGTGTGTTTGGAGGACTTGGTCAGAAGCCGAGCACAGGCATTCTGAACCACCTGTAGACGGTTCAGGGAGGTTCTGCTCAGACACGTGAAAAGAGAGTTGCAGTAGTCTAAGCGTGAGGAGATGAAGGTGTGGAGAACTGTCTCAAGTTCAGAGCGAGACAGAATGGGACTCAGCTTAGCAATGTTCCTGAGATGGAAGAAGGAAGAGCAAACAAGAGAACTGACATGATAATCCAGGGTGAGAGCTGGGTCAAAGGTCACGCCAAGATTCCAGACAGAAGGTTTGGTGTGAGAAGCAAGCTGACCAAGAGTCTCTGACTTTAGGAACCAGCTTGTCTGGGGCACAGATGAGGATCTCAGTCTTATCTTCATTCAGCTGAAGAAAGCTCCCAGCCATCCAGGTTTTGATAGAGTCTAAGCAGGTGTGTAACAGCTGCAGCTTAGACATCTCATGGGGCTTGAAGGAGATGTACAGTTGGATGTCACCTGCATAAAGATGGTAGGAGATTCCTTTGAAGGAGCTCAGGATGTTCTGAAGAGGAAGCAGATAGAGGAAGAGCAGAGGCCCCAGCACAGAACCTTGTGGGACACCATGGGTAAGAGAGGTGGTGGAGGACCTAAACTTGGAGACGGCCACAGAAAAGGAGAGAAAAGCAACACAATAAAAAAAAACTGAAAACATTCAACTGTTCTATAGTTTCAACGCAATGTCATTTTCTGCACCAGGATCTGACGTTCAGGTTTTTTATTTCTCAGAAGTTGATGCGACCATCTTGTTCTCTGTTTATCTAAACCCTATTGGTGCTATCCTCAGGAAGTTTAAAGTCCTTTTCATTGTTACGCTGATGACACTCAGGTCTACATTCCTGTAAGTAGCTCGGGAATTAAGCCTGGATCACTCTGTGCGATTTGGCCGTCTTTGCCAAATCCCTCGTCCTGATCAGAATCATGACAAAAAATGATCAACGTCAGGTTGATTTGCATATCAGTGCACCATGCTGTGAAAGTACAGAGTAACTGGCTATGCGACAGCTTTTTGAGCCATCTCACAACCAAATCAGCCTCAAAACTCTACGGCACTGCTTGAAAACCTACGATTCCTGTCTGCGATCGACCAATGAAAACACAACAAGACTCTGCATCTCTGAGCTTTGGTTTCACTTTATGTTTAAAATGCAGATTATAAACTACACACCAGTTATTATTTCTGTTTATAGCCCAAGTTAAACCAGAGTTATGCTAAATTAATTAAACTACCTTTTTAGACCATCAGATAAATTGTGAAAACCGTGATTCTGTGAACTGTGAGAGTGAGGAGATGAGCTCACAAACATAAAAAATAAAACACAAAAACATGAGATCTCTTTGCTGTTGGTGGAAATCTCACATATTCAACCGATAAGGATGGTTCAGTAGAGCTTTGCTACGGAGGGACAGAGGAAGCTCCGTGACAGCGGGTGTGAGCGGTCACACGGAGCGGAGCTGCGGAGCAGTGAGACAGAATTCACGGCAAACGTTTAGATATTGCAGCGATGTGTGACAGATTGTTACTTCTCTGTAGTTTAGTGGGATCTTGTGTATAAAGGAGGAGAAGGATGAACGACCAGCTAACAGATCAGCTGTTTCGCTGGAAGACGGGGAAAGGTGACCCGCAGCCAGAATCTGACGCCAAAGCGAGGGTTTTAAAAGCGAAGCTTCCTGTTTGAGGAAGATGAGCTGGGTCATGAACTGACACTAAAACTGTTTTTATTTTCTCAGCTTTGTTTTGGTTAGCGGTCTGCTTAGTGACGTATGCTTTGGGAGATGTGCTGATGATACAGCGTGTCCTGCTGGAGAGAGAGACGTCTACAATCTCACCCTCAGTGAAAATCTTGCTCCGTACAGCGTGCCACCTCTTTGGAGTTCTGTGTGACATGAACAATCCTGGGTGACGGCCTAAAATCGCACAGTGATCCGGGCTTTAAACTCTGGTTATTTGAACCGAGATCCTGGATGGCTGAAAATTTTCTAGATCTGAACCAAAGTAAGACTGAGCTGTTAGTGATTGGTTCTTCAGCTAATGCTAGCAATGCTTGGTTGTCTTGCTGATTTTAGTAAATCATATGTCCAGAATCTTGGGGTCATTTTTGATAGTGACCTTTCATTTGAGAGACAGATAAGTTCATTGGCTAAAAGCAGTTTTTTCCAACTTTGGCTTTTGTCCAAGGCCAAACCTTTTTTTATCACGCAGAGATTTTGAGATAGGGACTCATGCTTTTATCTCGGTGCAAGGAAACATGACTCCGTGTCTCCGATTTCAGCTTCTCAGCACCGGCTGCCAATTAGAATTGAGTTTTAAATTTTCTTGTTGGTTTTTAAATCTTTGCAACCTACTTACCTGACCTGTGTGTTCCCTATTGCCCTTCCAGAGTGCTCAGGTCCTCTGGTCAATAGACCTTGTTTGCTCCCAGCACCAGATGTAACGCTAGAGGAGACGGGGCTTTCACGGTTGCAGCACCTTGTCTGTGGAGCTCTTTACCACAACTTATTAAGGACTCTCCATCAGCTGACTTGTTTAACTCTAGGCTTAAGGCATATTTTTATTCCCTTGCGTTTACTGATTAACTCAGTATTGTAATAATTATGTTTGGTTTTTTTATCGTGCTATTATTTTACTCAGTTTGCAGTTTTTCAGAATTGTTTACTTAATTGTTTTTAATTGTTTTCTGTGTACGTTAAGCACTTTGGCTACAGCTATTTGCTGCTGTAAGCGTTCTATATAAATAAACTGACATTGACTGCTGGAGTCAGAAGCCTTCTGAGGGACTCCTCAGGTGAGAAGAGCTTTTACCTGGAAGCTCCTCCATGCTGTTGGAGGGGCTGAAGTAGTTCTTCAAGGCGCTGTATGCGTTCATGGCCACGTTGAGGTAGAACTCGGGCGTGAAGGCAAACAGGGAGCCAGTTCCGTCAGCGTGTTCGATGGTGCGAATGCAAACACACAGCAGCCAGTAAACATCCAGCATCTTCTCCTGCAGAGACAAACATCAGAGACCAGAAATGCTGCAGCTGGAGCAAAAGGCTCATAAGAGTCTTCAGAGCAAACGGGTCACCTTGGAGTAGATGGTGGCGTTGATCCAGGCCAGTCTGCGGCTCAGGTGGTTCAACTTCTCTGCAAAAACCTTCTGACTCTTCTGGAGTTCCTCCATAATATCGGAGCGCTGAAACACACAACAGCCACTTTGAGTCCTGTCTTTAGGAGAGTTTGAGGCTCTGCATCAGTTCTGTTGGATTGTTTGTGTTGTGCCAACTCTTCCCTCCTGACTGGTTAGAATTGGGTCTGATGGTTTGCTTGTTGTACATTTGAGCCGAGTGCTTCCTGGTGACACTTAATGAGAGGACACATCGTTAGCTGAAAAACTATCTGATTAACTCTGACTCAAGGGCCCACATGGAACTGAACTCAGGCAGAAAATGTGAGGATGGGAGGAGGTTCTCACTCTGGCAGGACATCGAGCAATCTTCTCCTCTGTGTCCTTCAGAGCTACGGCGTATTCGTGCACTTCATCTGCCACCACCACCATCTGTAGGAAACAAGACACACGGTGCGAGTCCACCTGATTACAGAGGAGACGCAGCAATATGAGGTCAAAAGGTCAAACTCTGACAAAAAACTGCGGGAGGAAAATCCCTGACAGAGCAGAGATGAAACAATCAGCCACAACAACCTCCACCTGAGTTTTCACACTTTGATTTTACACAAGATCCTGGTTCTACCAAATCCTGGTTCTATTCAATCCTGGTTCTACCAGATCCTGGTTCTATTCAATCCTGGTTCTACCAGAACCTGGTTCTACAAGATTCTGGTTCTACCAGAACCCTGGTTCTACCAGAACCCTGGTTCTACCAGATCCTGGTTCTATTCAATCCTGGTTCTACCAGATCCTAGATATATTCAATCCTGGTTCTACGAGAACCTGGTTCTATTGAATCCTGGTTCTACGAGATCCTGGTCCTACCAGATCCCGGTTCTACATGATCCTGGTTCTGTCCCAAAGCAAGTTATTTTCTCACCTGAAAGAGGACTCACCTTTCCCAACTGTTGATGGACGCTCAGGTTGTACATCATCACAATACCATCAATGATCTCCAGCAGCGACTTGTCTGCTATTGGCTTATCAGGCTCCTCCAGCGGTCGCCCTAGCAACAGGCCGTCGTTACCGTGGCTTCCTTCAACTTCAGGAGGGAGGGGAGACAGAGACAGGAAGATAAACAGCGGTCAGGTGAGGAGGCAGCAGGTTGAGACTAGTTGGCCTCCTGAGTTCAGTGAAGAGTCTCCTCCATAAACCAGGAAGTTAAGAGACATCAAACCTACAACCATCTGCAGATTACTTACTGTCAACATTCCTTACTGGGACTTTTAAACTGAGTTCAGACTGACCAGAGCAACCACTGAAGAGCCGCACAGACAGCTGATCACAAAGAAATATTAAAAGGAAAACCTCAATTTAAAATCTGCTCAAGATGCAACAAAAAGTCAAAATTCAGACGGAAAACTCGAAAATTCAGTCTGACCGATTACAGGAAAATCTATTTTGATCCATACTTAACATTATTTAACATTTTTCATTAGGAAAATTCTGAGAAAACATACTGGGAATGGTGTGGTGTGACTAGTCAAAATAAAAGCATGACAACATCCCGAACATAAGATTGTTTATTATGATCCAAGTTCATTTTAACGGTTTCCACCTTTAAGTCGCTGCAGGCTTAAGTTATGAGCTCCAAAAGTCTAAACTTTGATCACTAAAAGCTTTCTCCTTAAAAGTGCAACATTTTAATGGCAGAAGTCCTCTTATTCTGTAATACCTAAAAATACCCAGAGATCCTGTTTTAGAGAAACTGCAGTTCTGGATTTACACCAGGAGGAGACAGAGTCGAGCTGTAGTGGGGTAGAAGAAGACCTTAGGAATGGGTCAGAGATGTTCTGGTAGCATGAGGATATGTGATGTGTGCTTTGCTGATCAGAACCAGGTCAGAGAAGTTCTAGATGGGTTAAGAGGTGAAAGACTTACTGTCGTCCTCTGTGCGCTGCTCCACAGCGAGGGTCCGGACCTTCACCTTCTCTGGCTGAGACAGAGGTCGTCTGGGGGTCATCAGGCTGACTGCAGCTGTGCTCAGGAACCGGTTGGCCCGTCCCAAAGTAGGAGAACTAAGCCAACTGGGCCTGGCCAAAGCTCCACCTATTGCTGCTGCTCCGAGCGGCCTCTGTGAGACAGAACAGGGACGTCTGGGTTTGTTCCATGTTCTATCTGCTGTTTGACGGCACAGAAAGATGGGATAGTTCTGACCAATCGTCTGGCTCAGAGGTCCACAGTGAGATCAGCATTTGTCGCGTCTGTGGGAAAACCTCAGAAGCAACCCTCTGACTGACCCAGATTTTACCTCACAGCCCTGAACCTCCCACATTCATCAGGAATGGATCTGTGGTACCTGAGCCGCTCCAATCTCTTCGTCCTCATCTAGATCATCCATGGATGTGGTCTGGATCTCCGCAGGATCGATGATGACATTAGCTTTACTGGCAAGGTCATCTGGAAAACAGAGTTATTTATCACAAAGCCCAGATTTCCTCCAGTGAAACTTGAACAGTTTCCTCTCTGCAGTTTCAGCTGTTTCTGCCATTTATTAAAAAGGTCAAATCTGAAAGCAGCTGCGCTTTCTCACTCCGAGCTGCCGGTGCCCACAGCAGTCAGACCTGCTAATTTTGTTCTCCACTCCTTCATCTCCTCACGCTTAAGACTACTGTAACTCTCTTTTCACGTGTCTGAGCAGAACCTCCCTGAACCGTCTACAGGTGGTTCAGAACGCCTGTGCTCGGCGTCTGACCAAGTCCTCCAAACACACCCACATCACCCCGCTTCTCCTCCAGCTTCACTGGCTGCCAGTCAACTTCAGGGTTCATTTCTAGATCATGGTTCTGGTCTATAGGGCCTTACATGGACAAGCACCATCTTACATTGGTGATCTTCTTAGTCCCTACACCCTCAGCAGGTCCCTGAGGTCCAGTGACCAAAGCCTACTGGTTGTGCAGCACCAGGCTAAAGACCAAAGGTGACAGATCATCTGCTGCTGTGGCTCCCAGACTGTGGACCTCTCTCCCCCTGAGGCTGAGATCAGTGGACTCCATTAAACTCACCTGTTCAGGCTATGGTGGGACCTTCATCACCACCCTCTGCTTTTTCCGCTCTTTCTACCTAATCCGTCTTTCGCTGATTTCTCTCATTCATATTCATTTTCTCTCTCCTTTTCCTAACATTTTAATCACAGTTTTGTCTTTTTTATCATTTTAAACACATTTTTAATAATTTTTTTTAATCTTTATTATATTTAAATCTTCGGTTCTTCTTAAGTGCCTTACAATTTTCATCTTGAGAGGCGCTATATAAAAGATCGTTTTCTTTCCTTTTCTGGATCTGCTGATCTGAGCACAGCTGAACAAAATCAATCAATCAAAGCTTTATTTATAAAGGGGAGATTTAGTCATTTTGACATAAACAGAAGAAAAGAATATATTGTGATCAGTAAAGGAATCACAATGCTTCAAGTAACGGCGTTACTAACGAGTGTTGGGTGCTCATTTAACTTAATTATTCAGTTTAATGATAAACAGATGGACAAACATGTTATTGAGCTCCAGTCTCTTTAGTCATCTATAGTAAATCAAGGCAGTTCTGTTCAGACAGGATCAGATTTTCTTGCATATTTTTATGAAAAAAGTAACGCAATAATTACTTTTCCAAGTAATTAGTTACTTTTATATTCTTGGAACGGAGTCAGTAACCCAGTTACTTTTTTGACAAAGTAATTAGTAACTATATCCAATTACTTTTTAAAGTAACTTTTTCAACAGATTGTTATGTAAATATCTACTGCATGTGAAATTACGTGGAGATATAGATTCCTACTCCAAAGTGATTTACTCTACAGTGACTCGTTCATCCCTTCACACTCTGGTGGTGATGAGCTACATCGTAGCCACAGCTGCCCTGGGACACACTGACAAGAGTGGAACCAGGCGACAGAGACTAGAGCCGGACGTCCCTGGACTGGTCCAGTTCTGGATTTCTTGTTCAGACCCGGTTCTGACTGAAGCTTTGTGTTGATCTTTAGTCTCACTGGAGGTTCTGCACAAACTCTGTAAATGGGTCAAAGCTCTTCTGACCTGATCTGATTCTTTTCTAAAGCAGAACCCGCCTGCAGCCACCAGAGAGACAGTAATGAGCCAAAGGCACGAAGTGTGAAACGTCAGAGGGTTTCTAGTGTAATTACTGTAGAACGGTCAGGAACGAATGTCAGGATGGTTGTGCACGAAGAGCCGTGTTTAACAAGCTTGAGAACTGCTGCTGTCTTAGTGAGTTAAAAACCCAGCAGAACTTATAACTAAACAGCCTGAGAACCATCAAACGAATCTCTAATTAAACCTGAGTCTGGTGGTTTCGAGTATGTTCCTGGTGCCTAATTCTGATTAATGAGATGTTTATAAAAATAAATTAATTAAATCGGAGCTGTAACCACTGATGGTTCTGCAGGTTCTGGTACTGGAACAGTTTGCAGGCATCATGGACCTGAGGTGGTGAAATAGAAACGGCAGCGGGTACCGGATTTTAGCCATGAGCTTGGGTCTGACAGAACCCAGGGATTCATATAACACCAGAGTCATACCTGACTCAAACCTGCTGACCTCAGCTAAACCGTGCCTAACCTCCTGAAACAGTCTCAGATTTACACCCAGAAGGATCATTTAAGCTGGTTGTCCATGAGCGCTACTCAGCCTGAGACAGCTGTGTACAGCGTGGTTCGAGTTAGTTCATCTGAGTGCGGTGCTGTTTCTCTGACGGAGCCATGACAGAAGACGGGTGCAAATAGCATGAGGTGATCAGTAAACAGTGCCAGGTGATCGGTGGAGTAACACAGCAGAAGAATGGTGGCGGTGTTGGACATTCTGCTCAGTTTTACGGCTTTTTGTCAGACTCTGAACCAGGAAATGGTGACAGTGAAGCAGCAGGCAAAAAGCTTGGGAGCAATCACTGACTCCGCCCTCTGGCCAATCACAGGCCACAGTCACGATGCCAGCAGACTCAGCCTTGCCAGGTATCTCAAAAGAGCAGGGAATAAAAATTGGGGAGACAGTAGAGGAAAAATCTCGAATCTTCAAAACTGTGGTCGGGCTGAGCTGCACTGCTCCGAGTTACTGAGTAGTGCTCGTGGAAAACTACCGTAAACAGATTCTTGGCAACTTTTTCATATTTTTTAATCAATTTCTTGGGCCAGTATGTGCTAAATTGACCCTTTAAAGGATTAATGAAAGGCCACCCAGCTCCATCACCCCGTGGCCAGAATATTCCACTTGCAACTTCAGAGTGCCGGCCAGGTCCGTTAGACTTAGAAAAACTTGAGCTGACATACCTGGTGACGTTAGATGTGAGATTAAGGTGCACGGCGAGGAGAGAGGTTTTACAAACAAAACAAAGGGGGTGCTTAAAGCAAGCCAAAACCGCCTAGTCTCCCTTTAAGCCACTGCCCACCCCGTTGATTTCAGATTCAGATTTCAGATTGAAATCTGGGATTGGGATTGTTATTTAAATAGTTTCAGTTGGGTTTGATACTGACATGTTTACGGTGTGGAGGAAGTAAAGAAAATAGAACTGGAGAATCACACAGAACAGCATTCACAACAGATTTAAGTTTGTAAATAAAACATTTAAAAAACCTTTCAGAGTCTTTTTCAGGTGGGACAACAGCCCCCCAAGTCTCTGCAGGTCAAAGTAATCCACCTTCCCATTGTAGAAGAGCTGAGGAGGGACATAGGCATCTGCAGGAGGACAGGTCAAAGGTCAGTCCAAACAGAAACAGGACACAACAGGAAAAAAGGAAGAATCAGCTTCCACCTTCACTGCTGAGGCTGCCTGGACACTTCCTGCTGCCTTCATCCCAGCTGGTTCTGATGGCTGTGATGAGGCGGTGCAGAAAACACACCATGTACTCGGGAGGACACAGAGCCGTAGGGTGCTGCTTACACACACACACACACACACACACACACACACACACACACACACACACACACACACACACACACACACACACACACACACACACACACACACACACACGAGAATGTTAAATCCATTTTACACTAAAGCTCAAAAGTCCTGCAGGGGGGTCAGGGTTACACGCTGAGTGGTGCTACAGCTCTCACCCCTCGATTGCTGGCATTTTCCTGCAAAAATTTCCTGAACTTGTTGAGGAAGATGTAGCGCGAGGCTTCTCCCTGAAACACATTGAGATGTTTCCGTCATAAACAAGCTGAGGCGGAACGGACCTCTTCATCAAAACCACTGAATTATATCTGCTATTAAAAGACTCAACCGGGAATATAGTGTATGATCCTGAAAGTAGGAACAACACTTTCAAAGACCTTTACAAACATTAAACTCACCACAGATAAACCCATCAAATAATGAGATAAATCAGTTCCCAGTACTTCCTAAATTATCAGATAGCCAAGCTACAGCTGTGAACTCGCAATAACATCATCTGAGCTCCAGGAAGCCCTTAAAACCATGCCCAATAGGAAGGCTCCAGGTCCAGGTGGATTTACAGCGGACTATTACAAAGAACTCTGGAATTCTTCAGAATGATGAAGGAAATGGAAGAAAATGGCGGGCTACAGCCACACATAAATCCAGCCAACATTAATCTCCTGTTAAAACCAACAAAACTAATCTACATCCCAGAGAAAGTGGAAGATGATCTTGCCAGAAGGAAGTCCTACTGATATCACTGTCGTCTTTTTTATTTAGCCTTCCATTGAGTTGGTTGGTTTTTAACTGCAACTTTTACAGGATTGCTGCAAACTGTTATTTCTTTCCTTTTCTGTGTGTTTTGATTGTACAGCACTTGGGTACACATTGTTGTTTTTATTGGTACTTTATAAATAAACTGGATTGGATTGAGACAGCCTCTACTTCAAATCAATCTCTCTGGGCTCCTTTGATCAGTTCCATCACATGGCGATGATGGAGGGTCATTGATATTGTCCTACACAATGCTGTGGTTGATGTGGTGGAGGTTCCAAGTTTGGAGTATCAGGAGATCAACACAAATATTTAAAAACAACTCTTCCAACTAAAGTGTTTTCAGCTGATTGTTCAGCTGATTGTAAACATCCAGATGAACGACCTGAACAGGTGGAAGAACCTCTCTGATAAAAACCAGACTGATCCTGCGGGACTTCTTCAGACAGAAGCTGATTCTGATGCGATAAATCCATTCTGAAACCATGGGACAGAGGCGACTTCACCTACTGTAGTTTTGTCCTTGTTGTTGAGCAGCAGCCTCAGGATCTGGACCTGCAGCTCCTCCACCACTGAAGAAGAAACCAGAGACACAAGAACTTTACATCCTCTACAGAAAAAAAAGAGAATAGGATAAACAGGAAATCAGACCTTCGATCCGCTTCTTCAGCCTCTGGCAGCCTCTCTCGTAGGCTCGGCGTCTCAGTCGCTCATCTGAACTCTCATCTTTGGGTTCACGCTCATCTTTCCCCTGAAGAAGAAAACACAGCAGAAAAACTGAGACGTGACCAGTTTTCAGTGGAGGCAAGAAACAGCAGGACTGTACTATTTGCCTCTTTGTCGAAATGTGTGGGCCACCAGGTGGTCGGGATGAGCTCCTCTAGGCCCGCCTCCTTCACCCTCAGAGGAGTCTTTATGTAGAAAAACACGACTGACCGCAGAACATCAAACGTAGCGTCAGTTAAGAGAAAAGGGGATGTTAGTCACAAACAAAAGGTCGGGAGGAGGTTCAACCAGCTGTTTGACACTAAAGAAACACGACTAAAGCCAGACCCGGTTCTGTCTGAATCAGTCCAACGTCCTGGATTTAAAACAAACTTTAGATCAAACTGAGTAAAAGGAAGAACCCGAGAGCAGTAAGACCCAGCAGGATGACCCTCCTCTGAGCTTCGTCTCAAGGTCCTGCAGACAGAAGGATATAAGACGTTGTTGAGGAGATACTTCCTGGACCTCTCGTGACGGAGGATGGCTGTGGTCAGCCGCAGGTAATGAATCTGAAACAGACAAACATCTGTAACAGCTGAAGCTCTACCTGGCTGAGGGAAACAGGAAGTGGGTGGTACCTGGAAGCCCAGGTCAGGGATGATTGGGGAGAAACGGTACGCTCTCAGCAGAGACATCATCAGCTGCTTCAGACACTCGTTAACCTCGTGATCCTGCAGACAGACCAACAGAGAGGAGGGGCTTCAGCCGACCTCTGACCTGTGTGTGGGTGTGTGCGTGTGTGTGTGTGCCACAACCAAGCCCCCACAATGCGGCTCAAAAATTGAGGCCAATTCGGAAGTACCAAAAATTGCAGTTCCACCCTCATCCACTGGGGGCTGGTGTCAGAAGCGAGCAAATCCTCATTGACTCCCATGTTAAAAATACCAATTTCACAGCAGAAATAAACATGTTTACAGCCTGGTACCAAAACATGTTTTTGGTTTAAATTATCTAGTTTACACTCATGACAACTCTGAGGGGGGTGAATTTTTTCCTCACTCTTCTGTTTAAGTGTATTAAAAGCCTAAAATTCTGTATAATTAATGAGCATCCGACCCACGTGACCACAGAGCTAGCTCCGTGGAAAGGCCTCAGTAGAGCCTCGGTCTGGCCTGGAAACTGTTCCAGGATTTTGAGTCTCTCTGTTTGTGTATTCTGTTTTGGATATTATTTGTGCAATTGTTGGACAAAATGACTTGCTGTGGCATTAATTGCACTAATAGAGCGTCCAAGGAGTCTCCACTTCATTTTTTTCGGTAAGTAAAATTATATTTATGTATTTAGGTCACTGCCAAGCTGAGCTTAGATTTTAACATGTACTGTTTAACCATGAAATTTAAATGTAATAGGGTAAAACCCAGTGCATTTAACATGATGCTGCACTTTAGAAAATGGGTTGAAATATAACATCTTGGCTTGTGGAGCTCTCGGGAGACCTGTGTTTTCCACCCGTTCTCGCCTCCCCGCAGCTCGGCGCATCTCTGTCTGATCGCGGCTTCTGTCTGCTGTGCGGGCTGCCGGCTTTCAGCAGCTTTCGGGAGACATCTGTGTTCCACCCGGTTTTACCTAGCAGTCAGCCCGGCGTATCTCTGACTCAGAAGCTCTGGTGTTGTGCACAGTTAACTCCGGTTGTAGCTAGGTTGCTACCTCCGTTAGCTTAGCGCCCACCTACGCGTTAGCTTTGGGTTAGCTTCAGGTTAGCTTGTAGCTAGTTCGACGTCAGTTGATCCCAGCCTTACAGCCCCACCCTCAGCTCCACCTCTCTTCCCTTTTGTGGAATTGTCTGGGCTTGACGGAACCTGTGACACAGTCAAAATGGCCACCTCCCATTTTGGCACAAAAACGTGTTATTGGAGCCTATGGAAATGCATTGTCCAGTATATATATGTCGATGGCCACAACTCAGTATTAAGGAGCTGCTGCCACAAATTACCACTGAGCTGAAGGCTAAAGTTGGTGTGTGTTTATCAGAACCGAGGGGGACCGATTAGGGAGACTTACTGGATTCAATTGGAGTGTAAATTATCAGGTCAGAAACACCGTGGGGTGGATCCCGAGGAGCTCAAAGTGAAGTTAAAACCAGAACCACAGAGCTGTTGGTGTGCGAGTTGGGACAGAACCGTGAGTTTGGGTCTACAGAACCTCCACATCTGAATATAAATCTTGTAACAGAGATGTTCTGTACAAACAAATCCACCAAGCCCAAATGAGTCAGAACCACAGCAGCGATCACACTGAAGCTGCTTTTACAAAACGATGCTGCACCGCCATGGTGGCATCAAGGAGCCTTGGGCCGTTTATAAGTGGTCAGACCGTGGCGGTAATGTGGTACAGTCGTGCTCGTTTTACAAAAGATTAGGCAATGGCGGTATAAAGGAGGTATGGGGGTGGGCCCTGCGCTGTCACGGACTTCCGTTTATCTTGGAAATAACTTCCTTTTTATTGCGATCGAAGCCGTGCTCATTAAGTTTTTCTAACAAGCCGCTCCTAAAGGTGTCTGTCCCTCACGGTCTCCATGCGGTCTCTGGTGATCTGAGCTCCAGCTCCAACGGAGAGAAGCTCCAGGAGCGCCGCATTGTTCCAGTTTGTCGTCTCACTTTATTGTGATTACAAAAGCAAAACTTACTGTCTGTGGTTACTTTCATTTTCAATATAGTTGCCAGCCGGAGCTCAGCTGAAACTCCCCACGTGATAGAACAGACAATTACCGTAATATTACTACCAAGCGAGACAGAACAAATGCCGCAAAATTCGTGCATCACCGTGCTGGCATGGCGCGTTAACCTGTTGCAGTAATATTACACTGATTTGCTGGCATGGTGTGTCTTGTAAAAAGGGCTTGAGATTAGGGCTGAACGATATTTAAAAAAAGTATATAGATAAAAATATTTTTATATTGATCAAAATCGATAATTATTCAAAAATATTTTAAAAATTGTAGAAAACATATTTTACGTGCAGCTCTGGCCATTTTATTTTTGTTTTTTTCTCTGCCTCTTCTCGCTGCAACGTCTCATGCTGTTTTGGTTTGAGAGGGGAGGGCCTGGTGACGTAGCGTGCCCGAGTCTGTGGTTTTGATTGGTTAGGAGTAAGTAGTGAGTCTAGTATGCTGCCACCTGATAGGTTAGAATGAAAAAAGGAAACTTTTTTATCAAACTTTTATTGACCCGTTTTTTTTCCTATCGCACCACATGCCAGTTGATAAATATATTGAACTATTGAATTATCATCCAGCCCTACTTGAGATATTTCTGTGAAGCGCTTCCATCAGGTTCTGGTTCTCCATCTCCACTAAGATGGACCAGCTGAGGCAGCATGGGACTCCTCGTGTTTTAGTAAAGATGAGAAAGACGACAAACGTCTTGAAAATGATGTTTCCGTGACTTTTTGTTTGGGATTTATTTAATAAACACAATTTTGGTGTAAGAAAAGTTAAACAGCTTGATGTTTTCTGGGTGAATGAAAAGCTTTCACCTCCATCAGCAACCAGAAGAGGTCCAGAAGCTGCTGGATGAGTGGGTGTTCGTCCACTGAGCCCCCTCCCTCCAGGATCCCCAACAGGAAGTTCATCAGCACGTCCTCCACCAGGTAAACCTTACACTGCACACACACACACACACAAACACACAAACACACACACACACACACACAGTTCATCTGAATTAACTTCTGAAGCTTCCACCCACATCACTCTATGCTGCGGCGCCCCCTGCTGTAAGAAAACATTACATCAGTCTGCAGCTCACACCGTTGAGCACTGGGTGTGTCTTTAGTTTCTCCAGTCAGACTGAAACAACGTCAGCTGCAGACAGAACGACTGAACAAACTAAACAAGCCCAGACTCTCACCAGGGTTCATACACTTTTTAGCTATGGTTTTCCATAACTTTTCTATGACTTTTCCATAACCATTCACTGAATTTCCAAGACCAAAAATAAACACATTTCAGCCGGACCATCATAGTCGGTGCCTCTAAATCAAACCCACAGTCTAACATGAATGCCCATTTGTTTCGACTGCAAGACTTTCATCGAATAAAACAACATATGCCGTTTGTTGCGACACGTCCTTCACTATCAGCTTCTTAAAATACGGGGCAAGTCCATATGTGCACACATGCAAATCTCCTACTGAGACTCACGCACGCACATATGAACACACACACACCAGTGTGTGTTAAAAACGTCAGCCTGAGTGTTAGAATACAGTCTCTCAGCTGTTCCACGGAGCAGCGTCAGGCAGGAAACGCGAGTACTCAGACACTCCCCGAGATCAGAACGACTTAATGCTGCTGTTTCTACCCTCAGAAGGATTTATATTTATTCCACTGAGCGTTGTTAACGCGTGTTAATGATCCAGATACAGATCAGTGTCTGAGGGTCGGCTGAAGGCTCTGAGAAAATTCTGTAGTTTCTCTAACTCTGGTGTTGGTTTGCTTTCTCTGTTGTTATGGTGATACGACTGAGTGAATCTATGATTCTGAGGTTGTGTTCCTACCTCTCAACATTATTTAGAATAATTAAACATGTGGTGAATTATTTAAAACAAGTCTTCCATCTGACTGAATCTTCCTGATCAGTTTCTTCTTCCTCCGAGGTGGATGTGTGGATTTTCACTCAGACATAACTAAACGAACACGACTGCTCTCACCATGAGAGGAGCAAAGTGGTTGAAGATGTGAGCAACAGTCACGAGGACCGTTGGATCTCCATGAAGCTTCCAAACAGCACAGTCCTTCTCCACCAGCTTCTCCTCCTGCAGACACACACACACACACACACACACACACACACACACACACACACTTAGATTACTGAGACACAAACTTCACAGTCAGGTACCAGAACAGGGTGAGTCACCTCAGTGTCGATGGAAGTGGACAGGACGTTCTTGATGTAACCCAGAAGTTTGTGAGCCTTCATCAGGTCTGCAGTGGGGGGGTCCTGGAGGGGCAGGTACCCTTCCACGGGGTACGTGAGTCACAGCCATGTCAAAGACCAACACCAGGTATTCAGGTATTCATGTGTCTGCACTTCCAGCAGAAGGATCACCACCCAACATCAAGATGAGTTCACTGAAACTCTGAATTTCTTTCTGAACCTTGTTCTGCGTTTCCAGGCTGAGCAGGAAGACGAATGTTCTGTTGGTTATTTTAGCTTTTTGTTTGTTATAGAACCCAGAACCAGAACCCAGCTATGTTGCTGTAAATGTTGGTTTGATTCAACACTTGCTTCTTCTGCAGCTTGAAGTCAACCAATAAGCTGCTGGAAATAACATTCATAATCGGTAAATAACTTGCGTGTGTGTTAGGGCTGTCGCGGTAACCGCAAAAATGAAATATCGCAATATGAAGAAGCCCACCGCGCTGCATCATGGGCCATCGCGATTACTGAACTTGGTTCAACTCAATGATGCATGTTGAGAAGGATGGCTGCACTGGTATCAACACGAAACGTTACTTCGCTCCTTTGGGAGCACTTTGGTTTTCAGTACGTCAGCTGCTGCGCAGCCAGGGTCCTTGGCCGAGACAGAGCTGCCTCCAGCGGCAAAAAAATAATAATAAACGCTCGGAGACCTGCTGAAGTCCCGGACAAGCACTGCTTCTGCAACCGTCCCGAAGAGAGTTTGAGCCGAGCTGGAGCTCACTCGCTACCTGCAGGAGGAATGCATCCACCCTAAAGAAACCCCCCTGACACGGTGGAGCAACAAGCGGGAGAGATTCCCTTTGCTCGCCAGAGTCGCACACAGGTACGTGTGCGTTAGTGCAACGAGCGCACCATCCGAGAGGGTTTTCAGTGTTGCTGGAAATGTTGCCACCCCTCTCAGATCCTCTCTCAAACCGTGTATGGTTAACATGCTTGGTTTTCCTTGTAGGTAACAAGGACGTGACCGAGCTATAAATCACCGTCATTCGTGTGTGTGTGAAAGTGAAATGATAGTGCGCCCGCCCCCCGGCGCGCGCGCGCCCGCTACATGTAATTTTTATGCTTGATTTTAAACAACTAAACAAAATGGGGACTTGTTTCTTATTTGTTAGATGCTGCAGCCAAATTTGCATTTAAAAGTTTAACCTCCTGAATTTTGTTGTTTTTAAGTTCAGTCGGACTCCGACTTTCGGAGAAACAAACGTTACTGCGATCTGTGTTGTTACTGCCCATTGATCTGCATTCAGTAAAGTGTTATAAAAGAAGGCACGGCAATTTTTAACCTTTTTTTAAATGTGTAAACATTATGTTTAGATAGTACTGCAATAAAAAAAGGGCTGCAATAATATCGCACACCGCAATATTAAGCCACCCTGAATCACCGCAGGGGGAATTCCTCAACCGCGACAGCCCTAGTGTATGTGTGTGTGTGTGTGTGTGTGTGTGTGTGTGTGTGTGTGTGTGTGTGTGTGTGAGTGAGTGAGTGAGTGAGTGAGTGAGTGAGTGAGTGAGTGAGTGATCAGCTGAGCCTCATCCGGTCTGAGCCCTGAGCAGGAAGGATATCGGAGCGGTCTGCTGCCAAAGTTAAAAGCCACCGACTCTTTGAAGGAGAGGCTGATGGCGGGAAAGTAGGCGACGCCGGGACCCATCTTTATGTTGGTGAAGGCCGTGCCCAGAGACTGGCCGTTCCTACACGTGGAGCAAAGACCTGGATCAGGAGTCAGGTTTTACACCATGTACAGACGAAGCACCAATGCATGATGGGACAACAGAACCAGAGTAAATATCTGAGACATTGACCACAGACTCTGGTCTTTATTATTAAACTGGTACGTTTGAGTCGTCTCTCCTTGGTTCTGTTCGACGTTTCCACATGAACAAGTTAAAACTGAGTCTTAACAACACGTCTCTTCTCACTGTGACTAAACGCTGCACAGAACGGAGATGACGTTTTTAATTGGAACAAAATCTAAGTTTTCAAATTAAATGTTAGAAAAATAAATTTCTGGAAGCACAGCTTAGCCCAGCTCCAGTTGCTCTTAGTTAGCTTAGCATAAACACTGAAAACAGGTGGAAACTATTAGCCTGCCTCTTTCCACTGCTCTCATGTGGACTTACAGGCAGAATGTGATGGTTCCTTCGTCTAGATCGATCAGACAGCTCACAATGTCTCCAGCTGCCCACGACTGCACAAAACACACAACATGCATCAGTATTTAACTTGATCTCAGTGTCACACACACATACATGCGCGCATGCAGTCTAGGACTCACCTTTCCATAGTTCGTGGTGGTTACGTTCCACTTCCTCACTCTGTTCCCATCGTAAGCGTATGAGTCTGGAGTGTCACCGACTCCCTCCTGGACCAGAACATGATTGTGATTCTGCAGCAAACCGACTCGAACACGCCAGGTCTGACTCAACATCAAACTTCAAATTTTAACAGGTAACTAATGTGTGTGACTCTCAGCAAACCTGACAGATGTTTCATCTAATAAGGTATCAGGTGTGTGTGTGTGTATGAATGGATGTATGTGTATGCATGTATTTATGTGTGTGTATGCATGTATGTGTGTGTGTGTGTGTGTGTGTGTGTGTGTGTGTGTGTGTGTGTGTGTGTGTGTGTGTGTGTGTGTGTGTGTGTGTGTGTGTGTGTGTGTGTGTGTGTGTGTGTGTGTGTGTGTGTGCGCACCTCCTGATTGAAGCGACAGTTGAGGGTACACCAGCCGATTTGCATCAGACCCTGAGAGGAGATCAGAACCTCGTAGGCCCATTTCCCTGCAGACACAGAACCTCAGGTTAGGTCCAAACCTCTAGCTAACAGTTGTCCTAGGGCTGGGCAATAAATCGAAAATTAATCGTTATCAAAATTTCTGGCTCTTATCGACAAAAATTTTCCCATGTCAGTAAATTTGATAATTAAAAAACTTCTGTTTAGGTTTTCTTTTCAAACAGAACTGAAGGTTTAATAACAGGAGACTGATCTGATTGAACGGCAACCAGCTGGCCCATCTCCTGACCTGTTTTCTGTGTGTGTGTGTGTGTGTGTGTGTGTGTGTGTGTGTGTGTGTGTGTGTGTGTGTGCGTGCGTGCGTGCGTGTGTGTGTGTGTATACAGTCTGGTTTTGTACCTGCAGGGGAAACTCTGAACATCGCTCCCATTTACCTTTATAAACACACGTGGTGGCTCTGATGGAGCTGAAGTTGCTGTGTCCAATCACCTGCAGAGATCAAACGTTTACAAACGTAATGTGACATCATCAGCTGACGCTTGATGAAGTCTGTCCAACATGTCTCACCCCCAGCAGGTCGTCGTCCACAAACAGAAGACCTTCAAAGCCGCTAGTGTGATCCAAAACAACGGGCTGAGGACCCAGGCGACCTTCAACAGGCTGATCTGAACACACACACACACACACACACACACACGGACGGACGGACATAAGCCAACATGTGGCTGTCAGTTGTTTGTTTATTTCAAACACTTTGAAGAATTTCGAGCCGGGGGCACTGTTGTCTAATGAGTAGCTGACTGATCCTGTGTGAAGCCAGAAGTTGCTCGTTAGTTCGTATGAAACACAGCTGTGTTGGCAACGAAAAACTTTCTGCAAGGTAACACGCCCTGGCTGAGCTAGGAGATGGAACTTTGCCTCAAACAAACCATCAGAATGGAGGTACATGTTTAAGAAATGTTTGGACATTAATATTGAATTTATTTTGACCGTGCACTGATGTATGTTGGTTATGTGCCCAGCCCGGAGATGCTGTATTGTGTGAAACAGCATTCCAATAGGATCTGATATTTGCAGCCCCTGGGGAAGTGGAGCGAGGTACATGATTTACTGCTCCTGTGATTAAGATGTGTTTTTTTGTTTGTTTGTTTGTTTTTGGGTTGCTGTAACCATTGTTCATTTAACCGTTTGTACAGTTTTCACGGTCTGATGGTTGACCTCATCAACAGAAGTAATTTCAGATGAACAGAAATAAAATCTCTGCAGCAGTCGAGGCTCTCTCATCGCTTTTCCCTTCCTTCAATCCTGGGACTACTACACAACATACTGTCAGACTTCACTGCCACAGGTCGGACCATGTGAAAGGTCCCACTCAGGGTTTATCTTCTAATTTGGTCGCAGAGACTTTTACTTTGAAGGCTGACTGAATATTTCTCATATCAGTAGAGCTGCATGACTCTCCTTTACCTCTGCTCTCCTCAGGTGTTTCTCCTTCAGACAGAAGTTTTTCCAGGTGAGCATTGAGGTCCTGTAAACCAAGAGGCTTCCTGCAGATAAACAGAAAACACATGAAAGTTAGAACAAGATTTGTCTTCAGAACAAAAAAAGAAGAAAACCTTTCCAATTTCCTTCATTATTTAAGTGACTGTGGATGTGGCTGTTTGTTACCTGGGTGAAGCTCCAGCAGGTCCCTGTTTGGGTGAAGGAAACACTTGATGCAGGTAATCACTCAGCAGCTTATCGTTCACGATCCCTGACGAAGAACATTTGTTTGTGTGCTTCAACAATGTAATTATCTTGCAACCCGAAGCGTGTTATCGAAGACGAGAGTCTTGAACATGAAGGTTTTCTGGAAGCTTCTGAACAGCTAAGACACTTGCAGGTGTCCTACCTGTGGCCCTTGGTTTGTCAGTGTCTGAGGCCAGCTTGTAGTTCCGGCGTGTCAGAGCGGTGACGCCTCCCTTCATGCTCATCCTGTCAGGCTGAATTCACCAGAACAGAATCAACGTCATCATTCATTCACCAGAAGGAACACAAACATCTGGAGGACCGGTCTTCACTAATCTCTCCACCACCGTCCATCTGACGCATCTCACTTTGGTTTACACTAAGAGGAGGTTCAACTGTGCAGCTGTAAGCTAACCTGCCTGACTCCAGGAAGCCTTGGGAAGAATCCAAATTCAGACTCCAAAAGAATCCCTATCCTCTGTAATGTGTAACTGCTGCTGGAGCTTCCACCCACTGGGACGATCTTCCCTCTTCACTCTAGCAGCAGGTTATTCCACAAACTTTTGAGATAAAAATAAAACACACCAGAAATGAGGGAAAATTCAGATCCAGTAAACCGGGAAACCCACCAGAACAGGAACTTGTTTGGACTTAAATGTTCAGTTACACTGGTTGCCTGGAGGTTAAGGTCCCTACTGGATGCTGCTCTGTAAACCAGTTCATCTTCACCTACAGACTTGATGGTGGGCACACCTGCTAGGTTTTACAGGAACTGGTTCTTAAACAACACGTTTAAGTTCTGCTCTGGAGCCTAAAGCTGTACTCCTACTACAAAGTAAATAAGGCATTAGAGTGCGTTTACCACAGAGTACTCTGTACTATTTTTAGCTATGTTGTTACTTGATAAATGTCCGAGGTGCCCGGCTGTTAGCCTGCTAACTAGCCCCGTTAGCAGAGCTCAGCGGCCGGTCTTACAGCAAACCCTCTGACCGGTCCTCGGATGAAGGTCAGTTCAACTAGCAGCCACGGGTCCGAGCCTCCCTCGGCTCGGTTCTGTTACTGTCAGTCAGAGTCCCCGGCAGGCTAAAGGCTCACTGACACTAACACCCAGAAGCTAAGAGCGTACAGACCGCAGCCGTCACCCACCGCTTCCTGCCGTCCGAGCGGCTCTTTCTCCAGCTGTGACCCGCTGCTGTGAACTATAACCCGGCCAACACAACGAGACGAACCGCCTGCCGGGAGCTTGAGGGTAAACAGTCGAACAGTCCGTCGTTTGTTAACGCCTCTCACGGTACGGAGCGCCTCTTGGTACAAAACAGGGAAGACAAACGTCTTCGGTGGAAAAACGCGAGAGCAGAATGAAGATCCATGGTCCTTGGTGAGGAAGATGATCACGGTGGTGTGATCTGGAAGTATCTGGAACAGCTCGTGGAAGATGTATTGAAAACACACAAAATACTCTAATTTAATGATAAATTTAATCCTAGACAGGGGCAAATTCCTGTCCTTGTGACTGCCCTTATAAATGGTCTTTATATCAAAGGAGTGAAGAACTGGAGTCTTCTTTCTCTTTGGGGTTTTATACTTCAGGTCTCCACAGCTAACCATCTGTCTCCAGATGTGTCTTCTGTAACCTCCACCCTCACACTAACCAACTTCTGTCCTCAATCTCCTGCCTGGTGGCTCCAACCTCAGCATCCTATAGCAGTCTCTCCTATGAACATGTCCAAACCATCTCAGTCTGGCCTCTCTTACTGTCTCAAGACTTTGAGTGTCTTTTTCACTTTTCAATGTGCATTGAATAATGTGTGTGTTCTTTAATTTCCCTCTGATCTTCCTTCTGATGTGTCAGAAGTCCTGCTGCAGCTGGTGGATGTAGTTCTGGTTTACTGGACACTTGGGACTTGAATAATCAACCAGATATATGTTCATTCTGAGAGTGGCAGATCTACAACAGAATGGAGACTAGGCAGTTTTGGCTTGCTTTTACCACCCTCTACCATCCGTTTGTAAAACCCTAAACAAAACTCTTCTCACTGTGCATTCAACTTTTTAAAACCTTAATCTAGCAGCTGAAACGTCTCACCAGCCTTCCTCGGTGTCTACAGGAGTGATTCATCACTAAATTACACAAATCAGCTGTGTTCATGATCTAAAACATGCAGGAAACGTGCTGGAATAAGACTGCTGCACCAGATTTTGATTATTATTGAGATGACATATCTGTCATCATCTGCTTTGCACACTCTTAAGGCATTCTCTCAATGAGCTTCAAGAGGTAGTCAACTGAAATGGTTTTCCAACAGTCTCGAAGGACTACATCTTGAAGCTCATCAGGAGAATGCCAAGCGTGTGCAAAGCAGAAATCAGAGGAAAGGGGTGGCTTTTTCTTTTTTTTTTAAAGAAAATAGAGTATAAAACATGTTTTCAGTATCACCTTTTTGGGTTAAGTACATAACTCCACATGTGTTCATTCATAGTTTTGATGCCTTCAGTGAGAATCTCCTAGTGTAAATGGTCATGAAAATAAAAACAACACATATATATATATACATAATTTTCTGGCTGATTTTTTAAAAATAGCTTCTATTTAGGGAAACGGAAATTCGTAGGGAAGAAAGATAAGGCAAGAATGCACTCTGATTGGTTGAAAAACTCTTCTCCTCTGTGATTGGTCAGTTGGAGGTCCGCCTTCGGGTGGGTTCATTTTCTAAAAGGGTATTTAAAAGTTATGGTCTAATCATTAGTTTTTAAGGGCTCCGTTTAGTTTTGTTTACTCTAAATTATGTAATAAATCGTAACAATTTATACGGTGTTTAATAAAAGTCGATAACAGTGGCAGTAGCTGGTATCGGATTGGGTTATTATTCACCCCCATCTCCCCTTTAGCTGTTAGCTTAACTCAGTTAGTAGCAGCTCCGCTCTGGGAACGGTCAGTCCTCTGACAGTCACCTGCTTCTGATCACTTATCGATCAGAACCGATCGAGGGTTTGTTGGTCGGTGTACGTCGGCTTATCGCCTCGACTCGAAGCAGGAAGATGCTCCGCGTGAGAGCGGTTGTGTGTCAGTCGTGGAGGGGGTAAGTGCAGCGGCTTTACTTCACATGTGGGGTCACGAGACTTGAGAGCTCCGCGGCGCGCTGACTTCCAGAAGATGCAAAAGCAGCCGTTAATCTGACCGATAACCCGTCAGCGTGTTAACCTGCGTTCACCTGAACGTGCAGATGAGTCACGTGATGTTTAACTTTATGCACGAGTGTGTGGACCCCCTATATATTATGCAATGACACCTGGTCAACTGCAGCCTTAAGTTCAGGTTCACTTTACGCACAGGCTTACTCCCTCTGAGGAAGCAACTAAAACAGTCATTCTTTCCATTTTTAACTGATAATTTCAATAAAAAAGGTTTGTTTTTCGAATTTAGTGCCAAAAATAAGAATTTAGCTTGTTTTTCATACTTTTTTGGCTCACATTATAAAATTGAAAACAGGCTACTGGACGTAATTTCAGACACCGATGGGGTTGGCCATAGCCTTATGAAAGGCTTTGCTCCAAAGCTTCATTCAGCATCTGCTGGAGCTAAACCATGACAGCCAAGTCATAATAGATATGAAACATTACCATAATAAAGAATGGTCTAACCTATTTACAACAAGTTTTGGGAGCAGCAAATACTATCAAACTGGGGTGATTTTTCTCTGTTGCTAGCTCTATTTCAAATATTATTACTACTATTCACAATAAAATATTACTAATAATAATAATACCACTACATCTACTAATGAATTCTCACTCACTTCAAACTTTCCTACTGACGGATGAACCAAACAGTAGGGCTGCTCGATTATGGCAAAAATAATAATCACGATTATGGTGACTGAAATTGAGATCACGATTATTTAGGACGATTTTTCAATTTATGTTGATTTTATTTGTTTTTATTCAGTCATAAAATTGCTCAGGGCACAATCAGGACAAAAATAAGAAACAAGATGATCACTAAAAGAACTCCTGATTCCCAATATAAAAACATCAATATATTTATAGCTCATAGTTTATGACCCAAGGGTTTGGTTTAACTCATTTAAGTCTAACCAGTACAGACCCAAATACCAATATCTTGCAAATACTGACAGCAAGAATTATACAGTGGCATTTATAACAAATAAATTGATGTTCACAAAATGTTGCATAACATTTATTGAGTCGTGTCAATGTGCTGTAGGAGGGTACACTAACACCGTGTCCTCAGAGAGATTAGTTATTATTTATCAGCGTGAGGAACTTATTTCTACCTTATTTATAAACTATTTATTTACAAGTCCATCAGTTAATGTAATAATTGTCCCAACCACAGCTGCACCCCCCACCCCCCAACTAGGGCTGCTCAATTAATCGAATTTTAATCACGATTACGATCTGAGTTTTGAACGATTATAAAAAACATAACAAGCCGATTATTTGCTCCTCCCGCTTGCGCTGCCCTAAGTTGCAAATGAAGCGCTCCTCCACAGTGTTGCCAACTTAGCGACTTTGACGCTATTTCTAGCAGCTTTTCAGACCCCCTTCTTGACTTTTTAATCCTAAAAGTACCTAGCGAACATCTCAGAAACATCTCTGGTAACCCTTAGCTACTTTCTGGATAACTGTCGTCGACATTTCCTGCAGGTTAGCTAAACACTCCGCCTGTGCTCCGGACCGTTCTTCACAACATTAGGAAAGGGAATGATGCAGTGATGTGTCGGTCGCTAAAGACAGCTCTCGGAGCCGGCTCCTTGTTGGATTAACCAGAGTGAGTGACACACACACCGCACCTGCGGTCTCCTGAGCAGCTAAAAACAGCTAAATGTGCGCGTGCGGCGTGCTAAACACACGTGCAGCTTGCCCGATTGCTGTGAGACCGGGGTGGGGGGGTGGGGGGTGCAGCTGTGGTCGGGACAATTATTACATTAACTGATGGGCCTGTAAATAAATAGTTTATAAATAAGGTAGAAATAAGTTCCTCACGCTGATAACTAATCTCTCTGAGGACACAGTGCTACAGCACCTTGACACGACTCAATAAATGTTATGTAACATTTTGTGAACATCAATTTATTTGCATTTATTTGTTATAAATGCCACTGTATAATTCTTGCTGTCAGTATTTGCAAGATATTGGTATTTGGGTCTGTACTGGTTAGACTTACATGAGTTAAACCAAGGTCTATAGCCCTTGGGTCATAGACTATGAGCTATAAGTATATTGGTCTTTTTATCCTGGGAATCAGGAGTTCTTTTAGTGATCATCTTGTTTCTTATTTTTGTCCTGATTGTGCCCTGAGCAGTTTTATGACTGAATAAAAACAAATAAAATCAACATAAATTGAAAAATCGTCCTAAATAATCGTGATCTCAATTTCAGTCACCATAATCGTGATTATTATTTTTGCCATAATCGAGCAGCCCTACCCCCAACCCGGTCTCACAGCAATCAGGGGCAAGCTGCATGTTTGTTTAGCGCGCCGCACGCGCACATTTAGCCGTTTTTAGCGGCTCAGGAGTCCGCAGGTGCGGTGTGTGTCACTCACTCTGGTTAATCCAACAGGGAGCCGGCTCCGAGAGCCGTTTCTTTAGCGACCGACACATCACTACATCATTCCCTTTCCTAATGTCCTGAAGAACGGTCCGGAGTGCAGGCGGAGTGTTTAGCTAACCTGCAGGAAACGTCGACAACATTTATCCAGAAAGTAGCTAAGGGTTACCAGAGATGTTTCTCAGGTGTTCGCCAGGTACTTTTAAGTTAAAAAGTTAAGAAGGGGGTCTGAAACGCTGCTAGAAATAGCGTCACAGTCACTAAGTTGGCAACACTGTGGGAGGAGCGCTTCATTTGTAACTCAGGGCAGCGCAAGCGGGAGGAGCAAATAATCGGCTTGTTTTGTTTTTTATAATCGTTCAAAACTCAGATCGTAATCGTGATTAAAATTAGATTAATTGAGCAGCCCTACCAAACAGCATGTTTATTTTGTGTGTATCTGTCTTCTCAAACCTCCAGGGACAGATGGCTGCTCATAGTGAGCCA